ATTTCAACGCTTGGGCAGTCGATTGGGGCAGCAAAGAGACCAAAGCAAGGGGGCAAGCACTATTGGAGGCCATGTCGTCACTGGACGTTGTCCTTCTGAACAATGGTGATAAACCCACGTTTGTGAGAGGAGAGAAGAGCTCAATCGTAGACCTCACCTTTGTGAGTAGTAATCTCGCAAGAGGAAACTGCTCATGGGAGGTGATAGACATCTACACCGCCAGTGACCATCGAGCAATTCTTTGGGAGGTATCCGCTGGTCGAAGGGTCAGACCAACAGCTAAGAAGACCAACGAAATCGGCTGGAAGGTGAGCACTTTCGATCCTAGCTCATTTTTAGTGGCACTAGATGATCACCCGATAAGTGGCAGTAGTGCTACGGAGAAAGCCGAGCATCTTATGAGAAGAGTCACAGAGGCCTGCGATGCCTCCATGCCTCGTAAACGCAGTGGAAGCCGTCTGCCACCGGTGCACTGGTGGAACGATGAGATCGCCGCTCTTCGAGAGAAGTGCGTCAAAGCTAGAAGGTCATCGCAGCGGGGTAGGAAAAAACCAAACTCCGAAGAACTGGAGATAAAACATAAGAATGCACGTCGAGAGCTCAACAGAGCGATCAAGAACAGCAAGAAGCAATGCTGGACTGAACTCCTTGACGAAGTCGAGGAGGATCCGTGGGGCAGGCCGTACAAGGTGGTCATGACGCGGCTGAGAAGCCAGCCTATGCCATCGCCGACATGCCCCGAGCTCATGAAGAAGATTGTGACGGTGTTGTTCCCTCAACAACCGGAACTCCGCCAGTCCACAGAGCGATGTGTGGAAGCATCGATCCCACCGATTACAGAGGAACAACTGAAGGAAGCCTGTAGCAGAGTGGGGAACACCAAGGCTCCTGGCCTTGATGGAATCCCTAACATTGCGCTAAAAGCAGCGATCAATGCAGTACCAGGATTGTTCCTGGACGTGTACAACGCATGCCTGGAGGAAGGCACTTTCCCCGCCAAGTGGAAGCAGCAGAGGCTAGTGCTCCTCCCCAAGGGGAAGAAGCCACCGGACGAACCATCATCATATCGTCCACTCTGCATGCTAGACACAGCTGGGAAAATCCTCGAGCGTATCATCAACAGAAGGATAGAAGCAGCAGTAGAACCACTGCTAGCCGATAACCAATACGGCTTCCGAACCGGTCGCTCTACCCTCGACGCCATTGACCTCGTCGTCAACACCGCCAAGGAGGCGATCTCTGGGACAAGATGGAGAGAAGGTACGAAGAAGTACTGTCTAGTGGCGACGCTGGACATAAAGAACGCCTTCAACTCAGCCAAATGGGACTGCATCATGGAGGCTCTCCAGAAGATGAACGTACCAGGATACCTGCGGAGGATGGTAGGAAGCTACTTCACTGACAGAGTTCTCAAGTACGACACAGAGAGCGGCCCGAAAGAGTACCAAGTTACTGGAGGAGTACCTCAGGGCTCGGTGCTGGGCCCTCTCCTGTGGAACATCATGTATGATGGATTACTGAAGGTAGCATTGCCAACTGAGGCAAGACTCGTGGCATTTGCGGATGATGTGGCGGTGGTGATTGTGGCGAAGCATTTGGAGGAAATCAACTCCATCTTCGATACGACATTCAGGAGGATACGTCAGTGGATGGACCTAGTTGGATTGCAACTCGCGGAGCACAAAACAGAAGCAGTGCTCATTACAAGTAGGAAGAAATTGGAGACAATCACGCTACAAGTCGGTGACTACGAGCTAACATCTCAGCCGTTTATTCGGTATCTGGGAGTGATGATCGATGCTCGACTCAGCTTTAAGCAGCACGCTGTGCATGCAAGTGCCAAGGCGTCGGGGGTTAGGACCACCCTATCCCGACTCATGCCGAATATCGGAGGTCCCAAACAAAGGAGGAGAGCCCTGTTGTCATCAGTGATCACGTCGGTGATCACGTATGCCATTGCGATTTGGGGGGATGCACTAAAGGTGCAAGAATCACGGCGGAAAGTAGCCCCAGTTTACAGACTGAGCGCTTTACGAGTTGCCAGCGCGTACCGCACAGTGTCCGAAGATGCAGTGTGTGTCATTGCCGGGATGCTGCCCATCGGAGTACTAGCCGAAGAGCGAATGTGCCTTTATCGGCAGAAAGGACAAACAACATTGAGCCCAGTAAATCTGAAGACAGTGGAGAGAGGCAACAGCACAAGCCGCTGGCAGTCGCTGTGGAACGCCTCGAAGAAGGGGAGATGGACCCATCGACTCATTCCGCAGGTGGATGTTTGGCTGAACCGGAGCCACGGAGAGGTCAACTACTACCTGACACAGATGCTTACTGGTCATGGGTGCTTTCGGAAATATCTTCATTATTACAAACATGAAGATTCCCCGGAGTGCCCGACCTGCACAGGAGTGGACGAAGATGTGGAGCACGTGTTTTTTGTGTGTCCACGATTCAGCATGGCCCGCAGTACTTGGGAGACTGCGCTAGGAGGACGGATTGTACCGGAGAGTGTGGTAGCAGCCATGCTCTCGTCAGAGGCAGCCTGGGAAGCGACTAGTTCCTTTGCAGCAGAAGTCCTCAAAGAACTTCGCAGCGAAGAACAAGAGCGGAAGAAGAATAATCGGTAGGAAGGAAGCAATGACTTCGATCACCTGAAGGAAGAGCTGCGGCTATATCCTCTCCTCGTGAAGTAATGCCTAACGGCGGTTCCGCGGGGGAGACAGAGGCCGATGAAAGGGGGGTTTTTAGTCGGTATGGGGTAACCGAGCCCGACATACCAGGCAGAACATCTAGACCTGACGATACGTAAAAGTATTTTCCCCCCTTATAAAAAAAAAAAAAAAAAAAAAAAACACGCACACACACACACACACACAGATCCACCTTGTCGCACCTCATGCCTAACGTCGGGGGCCCACAACAAAGAAGAGCCCTGTTGTCGTCGGTGGTTAATCAGTGCTCACCTACGGCATTTACTGCAGAAATCACGGCAGAATGTGGCACCAGTCTATCGACTGAGTGCTTTGCGAGTCACGAGCGCCTATCGTACGGGATTCGAAGACGCAGTGTGCGTCATAGCCGGGATGCTCCCCATAGAATTATTGGTCGAAGAACGAAGGTCATCATATCAGCGGAGGAAATCTGAGACACTGAGCGCAGCAGAACTCAGGGTAGAATTAGATTAAAATGAGGAAGAGCTGAATAGCTGAGACCTCCCTCGCGAAGTAATACTTAGCGGTGGAGCCGCGAGGGAAATGAGAACAGATGATAAGAGGTGAAAAGAGGAAAAAAAGGTTTTTACTGGGTAAGAATTCCCGATTTGGTTTTGACATCACTTTACCAGAATCTTTTAAAAATTTTCCTAAACCTCTATAAAAAAAACACACACACATACACACAAATACTAAACTAAGAAGCAGCTCAAGCCGAGGCTTGTTCTTCTTAGGACATCTTGGAGGAGAAACCCAACTCTAAAAGAGGTGTGCTGGAAGGGCTCCCTAGAACAGCCTGCAATAACGAGAACAGGGACAGCTCCCTTTACCAGCCTAGAATAATTATGATGAGTGATGTCAAAACACAAAGTTCCCATGCAAGTATCCCTGAGAAGGAAAATCCCGCCATCAGTTCCGATCGAGTGAAAGCCTCGGTGGCTGATGCCGGCTCCCCGGATTGTGGGAGGACCCAATCATCACTTTCTTCCAAGGTGGACCACTTGGCCTTAAATGCTACAAGTGGGGTCGAGTCACAGAATCAACAGGAGGAAGTATGCCGTCACGCTTGGGAACGATTTGGACAACTCATTACAGAGTTACATGAGTTTGTTCAGCCCGAGATTAATGTCCACAAGGAGATCAAATCCAAAGTGGCATCTATCGGGAGCACGTTCAAATGACTCAGGAGCTTGGAGGAGGCACGCAGAAAGGCCTAGGCCCCCATTGCTGAGCCCATGCAGGCTCTATTACTATCGCACATGTCGCGCTCACGGACGGACTCCGAAACGACGGTCAAAGACTCGGAGGTAGAGGATTCGAGTACCACGCAGTCAATTCGAGATCACGACACGAGAGATGTCTGGAAAGCAGTGAGGAGGAAGCGCTCGAAAGGCTCACCTGCAGCAGAAGCTCAAAAACTGAAGTGGCTGAAGTAACAGGATCTGACCAGCAAGATAGCCCCGCAGGGGAAGGGACTGGTTGATGGGTCAGACAGGAAGCTGATCAAGTCTAAAAGAGAGAAGAAGAAACGAGATGAAGAGCTGCTCCAAAAGCCATTTTCCGAGAAGAAAGGGCCCAAGAAGTAGAAGAAGACCCGTTGATAACCAGCGTCCAGATCTGATGCCCTGATCGTCCCACCCAAGGACAAGGAGGAATACTCTGACATTCTCCGCCGAGTAAAGAAGGATGTCCCTGCAGAAGAAGCTCAAGATTCCGTCGACAAAATCCGCCGGAGAGCGACCGGAGATATGTTGATCATCTTGACCAGGAAGAAGGTCGATGGAGTTCCTCAGCTGCATAGAATCATCGCCAGTCTCTTTGGAGATGAAGCCGAGGTACTCGGGGGCCACAGGAGGATCTGGAGATAAAGGATCTTGATGAGACCACATCGAAGGAGGATGTCCTCGAGGCCTTACAGAAAGTAGCCGGGGAGGAGCTCAAAATAGCCCCTGAGGCTTTCAAGTCTTTGCGTAAGGCATATGGAGGAACCCAGACTGCCTTAGTGACACTCGCGGCAGCTGCTGCGAAGAAGATCCTGGGAGAGCACGGGAAAATCAAGATAGGCTGGGTCAATTGCCGCATTAGGAGAGTTGAGAGACCGATAAAGTGCTTCAAGTGGCACTACGGACATCTCGCCACGAAGTGTACGAGTGCAGTCGACCGGTCTAAGCTCAAACCCCGATGCGCCTTGTGCACTGAGAAAGGCAGCACGGAGGACTTTGCCATCATTGTTGGAAACAGTAGGTGTTTAGTGTATAAGGAGGCACTCCAGAAGGTCCTCAACAAGCGACGATGAAGGTACTCCAGCTCAATCTCAACCACTGTGAAACAGCGCACTACTTGTGCATGCAGATGGTGCGGGAGTTGAAGCTCGATCTTACCATCGTCTCAGAGCCATATTGTCACCTGGACACTGGATCCTGTGTTACTGACGCTAGCAAGAAAGCTGCGATCTGGAACTGTGGGAATCGGCCATTCCAAAGTACCATGAGTGATAGCATACAGAAGGGCTTTGTGTGGGGTAAGGTTGATGGAATCTATTTCTACAGCTGCTATGCCCCACCGAGCCTTGCTACCGATGAGTTTACAGATTTCCTGGATAGATTGACTCAGGATGCGAAGCAGCAATTTTCCGGGGACTTCAATACTTGGGCAGTCGACTGGGGGAGTAAGGAGACGAACACTAGAGGGCAAGGTATACTGGAAGCCATGTCAGCGTTGGATGTTGTTCTGATGAACAGCAGCGATGAACCCACTTGTAAGAGGGGAGAGGCGAGCTCGATTGTGAGGATTACCTTCGTGAGCAATACCCTTGAGACGGGGAACTGCTCATGGAGAGTAGCGGATGTCTACACAGCAAGCGATCACCGTGCGATACTGTGGCAGGCATGTACTTGCCAGAGAGTCACCATGACACCTAAGAAAACCAACTGCATTGGCTGGAGAGTGAGCAGTTTCGATCCCAGCTCTTATTCGATAGTACTGGACGACCGCCCAATCAGTGGCAGCAATGCTACTGAAAAGGCAGATAACATCATAAAGAGACTGACAGAAGCCTGCGAAGCCACCATGTCCAGGAAGCGTACAACAAACCTACATCCACCGGTGTATTGGTGGAATTATACGATCGCCGTTCTATGGAAACAGTGTAACGCAGCCAGAAGATTATCCCAGCGTAGTCGAAAGAAGTTGGACTTTGAGGAGTTGGAAATGCAATATAAGGAGGCACGCCGGAAGTTCAGCAAAGCGATTAAAAGCTATTGCTATAAGAAGCAATCCTGGAGCAATCCTGGAGTAAGCTCCTTAATGAGGTGGAAAGTGATGCATGGGGGAGACCGTATAAGGTGCTGATGAAGAGAATCGTCACGGTGTTGTTTCCGCAACAACCAGAGCTGCACTGCACTGGCGAACAGGAAAAGAAGATAATGGTTCTACCAACACCAAAGAAGAATTGTTGGAAGCCTGCAACAGAGTGGGTAACACCAAGGCGCCTATCTTCATGGAATTCCCAATATTGCGCTAAAATCAGCTATTCATGCGATAGCAGATCTGTTCTTGGACATCTACAGCAAGTGCTTGAGGAAAGGTATCTTCCCGGCCATGTGGAAGCAGCAGAGAATAGTATTGCTCCCGAAATGGAATAAACTACCGGACGACCCTTCATCATACCGTCCCCTCTGCATGATAGATACCGCTGGCAAGATCCTCGAGCGTATCGTCCACCAAAGGATAGAAGCAGCAGTCGAATCCTTGTTAGCCGAGAACCAATATGGGTTCCTAAAAGGCTGCTCCACCCTAGTCGCTATCAACATAGTCGTCAACACAGCCAGGGACGCGATCTCAGGGAAAAGATGGCTAAATGGCACAAAGACATACTGCTTGGTAATCACGCTAGATATCAAGAATGCGTTCAACTCGGCCAAATGGAACCGTATCCTCGAGGCATTGTCGAAATTCAACGTACCGGGATACTTGCAGAAAATAGTTGGCAGCTATTTCACTGGAAGAGTCCTTAAATACGATAAGGAGTGCGGATCCAAGGAGTACCGAGTTATCGGAGGGATACTTCAAGGTTCAGTACTGGGTCCTTTGTTATGGAATACCATGCATGATGGACTGCTGAAGCTCGGATTGCCGCGGGAAACTAAGCTCGTGGCATTCGCAGATGACCTGGCTGCAGTCATCGTGGGCAAATACCTAGAAGAGATCAATTACAGCTTCGACACGATCTTCGAGACGATGCACTGCTAGATGGACTCAGTAAGTCGGAATCTAGCGGAGCATAAGACGGAAGCTGTGCTGATCACTAGTAGGAAGAAAACCGAGACTATCACGCTGCAGGTCGGGTCTTGTGAGATTACTTCCCAGCCGTTCATCCGATACCTAGGGGTGATGATCGATGCCCGGCTCAACTGTAAGCAGCAAGCGGAACACGTGAGTACAAAGGCGGCCGGAGTCAGATCCGTTTTATCACGCCTCATGCCCAACATCGGTGGCCCAAGCAAAGAAGACGACCGCTGCTGTCTTCAGTGGTTACGTCGGTCCTCACGTATGATATTACCATCTGGGCTGACGTACTCCAGCTGCAAAAAACAGGGCGTAAGATTGCACCTGTCTACCGACTGAGTGCCCTTAGAGTTGCAAGTGCATACTGGATGGTGTCTGAGGATGCAGTGTGTGTCATCGCGGGGATGCTACCCATAGAGATGCTAGCTGAGGAGCAAAGATCTCTATGTCAGCGGAAAAGATCGGAAACGCTAAGCCCTGAAGAACTGGCGATTGAGAAGAGGTGAAATAGCGTGAGCAGATGGCAGCAAAAGTGGGCTGACTCGACCAAGGGAAGATGGACCCATCGTCTGATTCCACATGTGGCTGTCTGGGTGAGTCGAACTCATGGAGAAGTCAATTATTATCTGTCACAAATGCGTTTAGGACATGGGTGCTTCCGGGCGTATCTTCACAAATACAAACATGAAGATTCCCCGGAGTGCCTAGTTTGCATAGGAGTGGACGAAGACGCAGAGCATGTATTCCTTACATATCCCCGCTTCAATGAGATGCGACGAACGTGGGAGTCCGAGCTAGGAAGAGAGGTCAAGCCTGAGAGCCTGGTGGACGTAATGCTGTCATTGAAGGCAGCCTGGGACGTAACGTGTAACTTTGCGGCCGAAGTCATGAATGAGGTCAGAAATGAGGAACGCAAGCGCAAGGCTGCAGTATAGGTGAGAAATCTTTTTGGAACCTCCTAATCACGCACAACATCTTAGCGGGATAGGGGGACGTACATCAGATGAAAAACCGTGGAAGCGCAAACAGCTGAGACCTCCCTCGCGGAGTAATACTTTACGGTGGTGCCGCGAGGGGATGAAAGGTTAGTGGAAATATTTCCGACTGGAGTTTCGTCGGTATTGACAGTTTTGTCCGAGTCCGACACTCATTTGACGGAGGGATGCTGCTGTCCCCTTCCTCAAGTGGTCATGCGTAAATGTATTCTCCGAACAGACAAAAAACACATACACACACACTCACATACACGGCCGCCCCTCCTAGGAATTGCAGGACCTTGTCGTTGGTGGAGGGGCTTAGGGATGCATCCTAAACTAAGAAGCCGTTCAAGCCGAGGCCTGTCCTTCTTAGGACGTCTTGGAAGAGAAACCCAACTCTAAAAGAGGTCTGCAGGGTAGGTTCCCTAGAACAGCCTACAATAAAGAGAACAGGGAGGGCTCCCTTTACCATCCTGGAATAATTATGAGAAGTGATGACAGAATACAAAGTTCCCATGCGGGTATCCTTGATAAGGAAAATCTCGCCATCGGTTCCGATCGGGTGCAAGCCCCGGTGGTGATGCTGGCTCCACAGGTTGTGGGAGGAGCCAATCATCATACTCTTCAAGGGTGGACACCTTGGCCTCACATGCTACAAGGAGGGATGGGCCTCAGGCCCAACTCGAGAAGGAACGAATCCGTGAATGGGAGCAACTTGAGAAGCTCTTCATGGATTTGAACACATTTATGCAGGGAATTCCGAAGATCCACAAGGAAATTAAAACCAGGATATTCACGGTCTTTGGTGATTTCGTGAAGCTTCGGTGCCGTGAAGAGGCATGAGCGAAGGACCAAAGGCCCAATACTGAGGCGGTGCGAGTGGGGGTGCAAACACCTCTAGAAATTCAACGTTCACGAACGGACTCTGAAACGACGGTGAAGGACTCCGAAGTGGAGGAGTCCTTCACCGAGCGTGAAATTAAGAAAAGCAAGCGAAGGAAACGTAGTCTGAAAAACTCACCAGGGAAGGAAACTCGAGACCTGAAGAAGCCGAAGCAGCAAGAATCGACGGTGAAGGATCGGCCACCTCTCGAGCCGCCTACCAAACCGCCGGACTGGAAAGAAGTAAAGGGAAAGAAGGGGAAAAGACTGCCCAAGCAGTAACCCTAAAAATCAGCTCAGAAGAATGAGAAGGCGACGTGGAAGCCCGCAGTTAAGCCGAACGCGCTGATTGTTCGTCTTAAAGAAAAGGAAAAGTATGCGGAAATCCTCAGTCTGGTGAAGAAGGATGGCATCTTTATTCAGGCGAATGGATGCGTTGAAAGAATCCGACGTGCAGCGACTAGAGATATGCTGATTACTTTGAGCAGGAAAACAACCGATGGAGCCCCCCAGCTGAGATCAGCCATCGCCAGTCTCCTCGGAGGGGAGGCAGAGGCGCTCAGCCAGGGGCTACTAGAAGACCTCGAGATTAAAGATATTGACAAGGATACTACGAAGAAGGACGTCCTTGATGATCTGCAAAAAGCAGCTGGGTAGAAGCATGTAACAGCTCCTGAGGCCATCAAGTCTTTACGTAAGGCATATGGAGCAACCGAGACTGCGTCGGTGATACTCACAGCAACTGCTGCGAAAAAGATCCTGGGAGAGCACGGTAAGACTAGGATAGGCTAGGTCAATTACCGTATCAGGAGAGTGGTTGGACCAATAAAGTGCTTCAAGTGATGGCACTGTGGACAACTCGCCACGAAATGTACGAGTGCAGTCGACCGGTCGACACTCAGCACTAAATGCTCAGCGACCGGCCATAAGGCCTCAGACTGCAAGGAGCCAAGGGGCCATAAGGCATCGGACTGCCCCAATGTGCCTTGTGCACGGAGAAAGGAAATGCGGAGAATAGTACCCACATGGCTGGTAACAGTGGATGCCCAGCGTATAAGGATGCACTCCAGAAGCTCACCAATAAAAGGCTATGATAAAAGGAAGAAATGCGAGGTGCTACAGATCAACCTCAATCACTGTGGGGACCCACACGACTTGGTCATCGAAACGGTGCGGGAGCTACAGGTTGATCTCGTCATGATCTCAGAGCCATCTGGACACTAAACCCTGGGTTACTGACGTCACCAAGAAGGCTGTAATCTTATCTTGTGGGAATCGGCCATTCCAAAGCACCGCCAGTAGCATTTTACAGAATGGTTTCGTGAAGGCGAAGGTTGATGGAATTCACTTCTACAGCTGTTACGCCCCGCCGAGGCTTTCCATTGATGAGTTCACAGACTTCCTGGATAAACTGACTGGGAATGCGAAGCATCACTTTTCCGTGGTAATAGTCGGGGACTTGAACGCCTGGGCAGTGGACTGTGGTAGTAAGGAGACGAACACAAAAGGACAAGGTGTACTGGAAGCCATGTCGTCGCTGGACGTGGTCTTGTTGAATAGTGGAAATGAACTGACCTTCATTAGGGAAGAGGCGAGCTCAATAGTGGATCTCAACTTCGTGAGCAGCAGCCTTGCAAAGGGAAACTGCTCATGGAGAGTAACCGATACCTACAATGCAAGCGACCACCGTGCGATATATTGGGAAACACGTACTGACCGGAGAATCGGTCCAAAGCACAAAAACACCAATTGTATTGGCTGGAGAGTGAGCACCTTTGATCCTAGCGCTGATTCAATAGCCCTAGATGATCGCTCTATAAGTGGTAGCAATGCCACCGAAAAGGCGCGCAGTCCCATGAGGAAGCTAACCGAAGCTTGCAATGCCACTACGACCAGGAAGCGGACAACAAACCTGCATCCACCAGTATACTGGTGGAATGATACCATCGCTACTCTGCGAAGGAATGCAATGCAGCCAGGAGATTTTCTCAACGGGGCCGCAAGAGACCAAACTGGGAAGAGCTAGATCTGAGGTATAAGAGGGCATGCTGGAAGCTCACTAAAGCCATCAAACGCAGCAAGAGGCAGTCCTGAAGCGAGCTTCTTACGGCGGTGAAGAGTGACCCGTGGGGGTTACCCTACAAGGTGTTGATGACACGACTCAAAATTCAACCAATGCCGTCGCCAATGTGTCCTGGACTCCTTAAAGAGATTGTGAAGGTGCTGTTCCCTCAACCACCGGAACTTCAACATACAGCCGAACGATGGAAGTAATTGGTGGTCCCAGAAATCACCCGAGAAGAACTGATGGAAGCCTTCCAGAGAGTGGGGAGCACCAAGGCTCCTGGTTTGGATGGAATCCCCAACGTCGCGCTGAAATCAGCCATTCACCCGACGCGTGAGCAGTTTTTGGACATGTACAACGAGTGCTTAAGAGAAGGCATCTTCCGTGCCAGGTGGAAGCAGCAGAGGCTAGTGTTACTCTCAAAAGGAAAAAAACCACCCGACGAATCCTCATCATACCGTCCCCTCTGTATACTCGATACTGCTGATAAGATCCTAGAGCGTATCGTTCACCAGAGAATAGAAACAGCTGTCGACCCGGTGTTAGCCGACAATAAATATGGTTTTCGGAAAAGTCGATCCACGCTACATGCTAATCAACTTTGTCATCGATACCGCCAGGGATGCGATTTCGGGGAAAAGGTGGCGAAATGGCACAAAGAAGTACTGCTTGGTAGCGACATTGGACATAAAGAACGCCTTCAACTCAGCCAGATGGGACTGGATTATGGAGGCTTTTGCAGAATTTGACGTATCCTGGATACTTACGGAGAATGGTCGACAGTTATTTCACTGGGAGGGTCCTCAAGTACGACACGGAGTGTAGTCCTGAACAGTATAGAGTGGCGGGAGGGGTGCCTCAGGGCTCAGTACTGCGTCCGTTACTATGGAACATCATGTATGACGGACTGCTGAAGCTCGGATTGCCGCGGGAAACGAAGCTCGTGGCATTCGCAGATGACGTGGCTGTAGTCATCGTGGGGAAATACTTAGAAGAGATCAATTGCAGCTTCAACACGATCTTCGAGATGATCCACTGCT